AACAATTATTCTCAAAAAACTATGATACTTCTTTGTGGTTTCTCTGGTGATTGGAATACTTTGGCCTGGCTTTAGTTACTAGTCAAGTTTCACATTGATTGAAAGGTTTTGGTGCAGACATGTAAAACCTCTTCAAAAACCAGAGATATGGCCTCAATCCAGCAGGCTGATCCATGGGGATGAATACCTGCACGTACATGGAGCCACATTGATTTTAGTTCATCTCTATGGATGCATTCTGATCCACCTACACCAATGAACTTACAAGGTTTGGGGCCCAAATTAACTCTGAGTTAATAGCTTCTTAGTCTCTTGGGTGACATACCTGTCTCATTGGAGTCAATGGAAGTTTTGCCATTGACTTCAATGGAGACAGGATTTCACCTTTGGTTACTAGGTAAATTTAGCAGATTTTGGTGCAGAAAATGTGTCACTTTGGGTTCTCACTCTTTAAAGTGCCGATTCAGCAAAAGAACTAAGCATATGCTTAAATGCTTTCCCAAATCAGGTCCTTAGCCACCAAGTTCTTGGGAATGCCCCACTTTCTACTTTTTCAAGTCTACCTTCCAAGAGATAATCAGTCGTCCCTGGTTTTTAACTGATTATTAACTCCTCAGGCTGCGCTACCTTTAAAAGAGGGGTGGAAAGACACCTGGATACTTTCTAATAAAAGATAATAATACTGAGCAATTTCTCCCTTCAAAGTGCTGTACAAAAAAAGAGCCAGATTCTCCCTTGTACTTGAGATTGGGTATCTCTTGCTATCCTCAGCAAGAGTGTAAGCTCCAGATGAAGCTATAACACTATGGCTGATTCCATCTTAAATGCATTTCAATCGGATGAGCAAATCGGTTTGATTAAAATAAAAACCATTCCCCAAAACGTGAACCAAATCGGAGTCATTCTGAAGGTTCCTAAGAACTTGGAGAATAGAGAGAGAGAGAAAGAGAGAGAGTGTGTGTGTGTGTGTGTGTGCCTGCCTCTACCTTTCAAGTTGCAGCCAGGGCAAAATTAGACATATTGATATGCCCTGAGAAAAGCTACTCACTGGATTACTTGACCCTACTGATAGGGTGGGAAATCTTATGACACAGCCTATTCTTATAACTATTATTATAATTAATCATGTTTATTATGGTAGGGCCCAAGGACCAATCAAGAATGGGCCCCGTTTTGCTAGTCACTGCACAGAGTAGCAAACAGTCCCCGCCCCAAAGAGTTTACAATCTAAACAGATAAGACAGACACAGGTTGGGTGAAGGGATAGAACACACAAGCAGAGTGAACAATGTGAGGGCAGTAAACATTACCTTAGTTTCACTATTTTGGGGAGGATGGGTTTAGTTAGGAGGGAGGGGGTCAGCTACATGGAAAGAAAAGAGAAGGGAGAGGGGCATAGCATTGGAGAATAGGGTAGAAGGGGCAGGGGTGGGGCAAAGCTGAGGTGAAGGAACTGTGAGAGGGAGGGAGAGGGTTGGAGCAAGCAGCCAATCTGCACAGGGCGGAGAAAGTCCCATCTAACCTGTAGAAAGTTCTCTGAATGTCCTGAGGTCCCTGCTTTGGCTGTTTCTGCAACTGCTCCGACTGGCTGGAGTCTCTAGCTGGTTCCTCCCTGCAGTTTTTCCTCAAGGCCAGGTTGTGGGGTGGGGGGAGACCACCTGCTTTCCAACCTCAATTCTTAATCAAAGTGGATAGGTTTCAGATGGGCAGATGAACTATTGGAGGCTTCTGTGAACCATGGCTCTGTCCACACTTTCACGGTTCCTACTACATCGCCTCTGAGACCAACTGAAATCTGAAAACTAAGACATTTTCAGTCAGATGGTTTATTTTTGTCCTACAGTTACTTCAATAGCTTGTTACTGACCCCAGGCTACATTTCTGACAGTACCAATTATATGTGGATTCAGGTAAAAATACAAAAAACTTCAAGATGAGCCACAGGCACAGAAATGGGAACATTTGTATGAATCCTCGTCTACTTGCATCCTGTTAGTTTCCTGAGGTTGTAATCATGCCTTTGAAGTCAACAGGCCCAATGCAGGATCACACCAAATGGTTTAAGGAAACGGCTCCATTTCTAGAAGTGGGTATTTCTGATGTATTGAAAACTGTGTTAAAATTGTAAGCTGTCACTTTAGGGGGGTTCCTGGTCATGCTTGCAAGTGAGGGGGCCCTGTAAGGAAGCATGTGTGCTGGTCCTAGCAGCAGTCAGTCTGCAGCCAGCCAGCCTAGAGTAAGGTCAGGCGAGTTATGCCTCTCTCTGTTTTAGGGAGCAGCCTGCTTTGTGCCTCACTGGTTTGGGGTTCTTGTGCATTGTCGTTCTGAAATGTAAGAATAAAGTTGTGTGACGTTGCAACCTTCCAGCCAGAGTATTTTATGTTTTGATCTAACTTCTCTGTTCTGTATGTCATGAAACGTGATGGTACTGACTTTGACCTGCAGGAGACCCGAGGGGTAGAGCAGGTTCAGTGTTATCCAGGATGGTTTCAGGTGGAGTAGCATCATGGCCAGCTTTGTAAACCATGGAGACAAGCTCCAGCAGGCAGTGTCGGGGGGCGGGGGGGAGAGATACTCAAAGATGTGGATTGAGTGAGCTCATCTATTTCATTGGGAGGGTGGAAAAATCACAAACAATTGACATTATCTTTGGGCCCTATTCCTAAGGGCAAAATCCTGGAAGTCCTAGATGCCCATGGGAGGTATATAAGCAGTATAATACCTGAGATTCCATTGTAAAGTGAGAGGGTAGCAGAAGCTGGAGACTGCCTCACTTGTAGAGATGATGCGGAACTCTGTGTGCAGGGAAGATCCAGGGGTTGTTGGGATATGAGCTTTGCACTATGCTGAGTCACTGGACCAATGTCCCGTCCTGAGGAGGAGGAGGAGGAGGGTGGGGGTGGCTGTATTCTCTATTCAGCCTCAATCTCTCATAGCTATGGCAGCCAACAGTGCAGGTAGCCCATTTACTTAGGAATGAGGATATATATATTTCAACCCTGCAGCGTGTTAGCACAGAGCAAAGCCATTTTGTACATGCATTGCTCCTTCCTTAAGAGTTAGCTCACCAGTATACTTTAAACAGCATGGTGAAAGCGTTTCAGGGGTGAAATCCGGACCCCACTGAAGTCAATGACAAAACTTCCATTGACTTCAGCGGGGCCAGGATTTCACCCCAGGTCTCCAGCTTCCTAAGTCCCATGTTAGCGTTTGTCTGCCTCCCCATGCAACGAGGAGACAATCTGCTTTACGGGGTCTTTCTTCTTTGCTGTGAAAGTGAAATCCTACCTAAAGATTTTCTTAGGAAATATCCCTGCTTTAAAACCCTTTCAGGTCTTTCACCATCAAACACAGCGTTCTAAACTAGTCCTGCTTGGGACATCAGAACTGCCTGTCTACAACATCATTTCTCTTTTTCACAGTCTGTTACCCTTACCTGAACAAAGGTATATTTGTAGGGACCAGTGTATTTCATTAAAACCGCTTCAAAGAACCTTCAATGACTGAATCATCTGCCAATCCGTACTTTTAACGGTCCATGCTTTCCTCCTTCCCAGCAACCTTGTCACTCTATTCTGCTCTGGGTTCTGCTAGTCTACTCTCCCAGGCTTCTGCAGGGTCTATTAATGACTACATGACTGTCTTGTTAATTGTAAAACCCTCATAGCTAACTCTAGAGAATGTAAAAGAGCAGGGGGGAAATCAGGTAGCTAAAGATGGAAACATTCAGATTTGCACCAATAATTCGAACTGCAGACATGAAAGCTGGGCCTTAGTCCTTTTGGAAGTTTACCCCTTACTACGTTTTTGTTTGTACAGCGAAAGTGGGTTGAGGGAAATTATCTAATTTACAAAGGATATTCCCTTTTCAGAATTAGGGTCTCCTCATACTCATTGTTATTTCATATTTCATGTGCTCAGTATAAGACCTGAAATCCTTATCTATTGCAGAGATTCTCTGGGGGCAATATTTTTTTACTGCATTTCAGTGTTTATTAATTCAGTCAGTAAAAAAAAGTGACACTGAGAATTGTCTTCACCCAGGAGCGGTGCCAGGGTTTTTGCCACCCTAGGTGGCAGCGCTCCTCCTCTGAGCATTCGGTGGCGGGGGTCTTTCCGCTCCGTGTCTTCAGGGCACTTCGGTGGCGGGTCCCGGAGAGAGTGAAGGACCCGCCGCCGAATTTCCAATGAAGACCTGGAGCGGAAGGACCCCCCGCCGCCGAATTTCCGCCGAGGGCGGCAAAATGCTGCCCCCCAAATCCTGCCGCCATAGGCGACCGCCTAGGGTTGCCTAGTGGAAGCGCCGGCCCTGTCTTCACCTCACTTACATGAGGTCTATCAATCTGCTTAGATGGCCCCAGCACTGTAATAGCTGAGTGCTTCGCAAACATTAATGAGTGTGATGCTTGCAGCATCACATGGTAAGCTGGTGACAGAGCTAGGCATAGAACTCAAGAGTTGTAACTTCTAGAACTGTGTCCTCCAACATGGGTGAAATCCTAGCCCCATGGAAGCCAATGGCACAACCCTTCTGTGCTTGCTTTTTGCCGATTCAAACATCGGTAAAAAAAAATCTTACATTTGCTCTCAGCCTTTGCGTGATACACATTCATGTGCACAAGGCTTAAGAATTTGCACCCACCAAACCCACTGAGTAATGAGTTTAGTGGAAGCAATTGCTTATCAGTTGTGCACAATACATGTGGCTATTACACCATTTCTAGGGTACATGCAAGTGCTGGTATGTTTGCTAATGTTTGCATCTGCAAAGTCAAATTTGTTCATGCATAATTTTGATGTACACCAGTTCAGGATGATGGCTGTAAGACTGCTTCATTGCCATATACTTTCATTGCTATACTGTATATATAATTTCCAAATGTCCATCTGGTGAGAAAGATACGACTGTCATTGCATACTGCACATATAACTCTCCCTATGACTCTTCTGTCATGTTTCCATATTTTAATTCCAGTTTTGCCTTTCTCTCTGTATTTCAGGTTTATTCCATAGTATGAAAATCCAGCTGCTTCCTGTGCACTTCATACATCATCACCAACAAAGCCAGACATCAGCACCTCGCTCAGATTCCAGGGTGATTATTGTCGTGCATGATCTATGGAGCAAATAAATTATAGCTTTATTTTTATAAGGTACATTGAGCCTGCAGGCTTCAGTAGTAACAAAAACAAAACGCAGAACCTTGGGTTTAACTAGAAATTTGAGGAAATCTGACAATCTGACATGGACGTCACAGAGTAAATAAATATGCACATCCATCATTTTGTAAAACAATGCCTTCGCTAGAGAGAGACCTCTGCTTGTTTTATTCTGCAAGGTAAGATTTTTTGTGGATTATCAGACTCAGATCCTGCTATAGTAAGAATCAAGCTAGTTATAAATTGATATCAAACAATTGAATACATGATATAGGGAAATCAGTGGTCTACAAGAAAACAGTGGTAAACATCAATCCTAGAGAATTAGGAGTATATTGATTTTAGGATATATTGTTTCATACCTGGATGTTGGATTTTTTTTTCATTGCACATAATATGATGGCATCTACTATACCTAAAATATTAACCTAATCTGCTTCTTTTAAAAAATGAATGATGATCTACTTCCTCAGAATCAAATATTCCTTATAATTATGATAGAAATAAAAATCCTCCTTCTACCAACAAAGAACAAAAAGCCAGTTTCAGATTCACATCCTGAATACAGTATTTTTGTTTGCACAGTAGAAAAGTGTATTGGGGGAAATTATTATCTAATTTACATATGAAATTCCCTTTTTAAGATTAGGCTATCATCACACTCCCCGCTTATCTATTTCCTATGGTAGGTGTATCTGGGCTCTGTATTTTTAGTGCTTATTAATTCTCTCCACAAAACAATTTCTGGAAAAGTTCTGTGCAACATTGAGAAACATCTTCGCTGCACTTTAGATGAAGTCTGCCTCTCTGTCTATTTAGGCCTCATCACTGTAGAATCTGAGCACTTCATAATCATTAAGAAGTTTATCCTTGCAACGTAGGAAAGTTTTATCCATATTTTACAAATGGAGCTTTTCCATAGAGATTAAGTGATTTTCCCAAAGTCCCTCAGAAAACTTGCGGTTAAGCTGGGATTCAAACCTTGATGATATCTTGCCTGCTACACCAGTTCCTTAACCACAAGACCATCCTGTCTATGAAGCAAACGTATTGGTCAGAAAAGTAATTCTTTAAACCAGGTATCCTCACAAATCTGTTTTCTTTGGGCCTGATTCTTCAGTTCTTACAGGCAATACTTTGATTTAAGCCATTAGAGGAATAGTTTGTATAGAGTCTAGGATCCATTCTTACTTATATTCCAAGTCACACCTTCTAATTTACAGTAGAACCTCAGAGTTACGAACATCTCGGGAATGAGGGTGTTCGTAACTCTGAATGTTCGTAACTCTGAACAAAACGTTATGGTTGTTCTTTCAAAAGTTTACAACTGAACATTGACTTAATACAGCTTTGAAACTTTACTATGCAGAAGAAAAATGCTGCTTTCCCTTTATTTATTTTTTAGTAGTTTACTTTTAACACAGTATTGTACTGTATTTGCTTTTGGGGGTTTTTTTGGACTCTCCTATTGCCTGATTGCGTACTTCCGGTTCCAAATGAGGTGGGTGGTTGACTGATCAGGTCGTAACTCTGGTGTTCATAACTCTGAGGTTCTACTGTAGTAGCAAAATGCATGTTGACTGCTCTTAGCACTGCAGAGCCCAAGTAACTATCTCGTGCTTCATCAACCAAATTGCCAGCTAAGATGTAATTCTCAATCACTATTCTAGGTGTTGGTCAAAGAAGATGTACAAAGCAGACAGAACACGTTTAGAATTTCATATAGCAGGTTGAACTGCAGTGCGGATAGTTAGAAAAATCTTCTTTGGACTCGCACACTGAAAACATCTAATCGAGAAGTCATTGATGGACAATAAATATGAAAAACAAAGATGTCCTATTTTTTCCCACAGTCACTATTATGACCATAAATATTTTTAAGCATATTGGTGTTTCACTGTAGCTATATCATATTAAAATCCACATTTTTTTTATTGAGCATCTACTATTTTTGTGTTAATGAATCTTCTTAAGGCCTACTTTTCAGATGCCATTGCTCACACAAAATGTATGCACAAGTACACTTTTACCCCAACTGGACATGCAAATAGCAAAGTATGGTCATGTATGCTGGCAATTACCTGATCAGCATGCAGAACCACAGCAATTACATACCCCACTTATTTAACAATTAGCCCCAAAGTATCATTTGCATATTGGCTTGGAAGGGTTAGATTTTTATTGGCAAATGTCATTAAAGGTTGATTTCACCAAACACACACAGAGAAAAAAATATTTCCATCGATAATCATCTAAATTTACAGATAGGCAAAGTAAGAAAAATGTTGCTTGAGAACATATTAGAGTTCAATTTAAGTCTATTTACTTTGTATATTTTGACATATGATGTTGACAATTTGTGTTTTTATGGTTATAAAGCTTTAACTTTTTGAATCTCAACATCTACTGTCATTGAATAATTATTGACTGACTCCCACCATAATTTACTGCAACTGTAAACATTTAACTAGATAAAAATAAAAAATAAAATTCTTAAAAATAAAAATCTATATTATCCATTGAATATTTTTTTTAAAAATGAATTCTGCTAAGCCTATTTGCATAGTATCTGACCTTTCTGGTTAACCTCAGAGATATGAATCTTTATTAAAAGGGGACAAGATGCATAGAGGGGGAATAGATACTAGTGGTTAATGTTCTGACAGCTAGGAAAAGTCATTTATAAAGTGAACATCAGTAAATATTAGTGATGACATATGGATATCAGCAGAGAGTAAATGGCAAGGCAAGCTAGGATGAGGTACTGCACTTTAAATAGTAGCAACTGTGTTTTTCTGGGACTGATCTTTTTTATATATTAACAGAAATTTACTATTATGCCTCCTGCTTCCCCTATGGTAAAATGCCAGAAATTCAACTGAGATATACTTAAAGTGACAGCATCCCCCATTTTGTCTAAGAAAGATGATTACTAAATGTCACGTCTATCTATTCTTATATAGATCAGATATTTGACATGCTCATGTCTAAGCTTCAGAGTAGTTTGCAACATGTTTTCTGTTGCTCTAAGGCAATCTGAAATCTTTGTGGTGAAAATGTGAGGCGGCCAAAGGCAGTGCATTAAAATAAAGAAAGATGGGATTCATCCCAAAGGTCTGAGGCCAAAAGAGGTAACAAAAAGACCTGACTGAAGCAGACCGTATGTTTCTGATTAGGCTGTGAGATGATTGCAGTTGACCAAACATTCCTGTTTTCTCATCTGAAGTAGTCCCATTCAAAAGCAAACATTGTTATTGTTTAAAAATTCCCAAATCATTTTATCTTGGTTTAAAACTATCTGAACTTGCATTAGCGCAAAACTCATGACATTTATGAAAGAACCTGGACTCTACCATTACACTGCGGAATGTGTTTCCTTTCTTCTCACATTGTCTCACTTCCCATCCTCTATAGATGGGGAGACAACACGGGCGTAAATGGACTGTCGGGTTCACATATATAGTGAACACACGGGGGTTTCCTTTCAGAATCTACTGCTTTGCCTAACCATGGAAGGCAGGAAGTGTCTTAAAGAAGGCTGAAAGGATGTGATATAAAGAAAGGCAGGATAGAATGGGATGCCTATAATTAGCAGTTTATGGCACTTGAGCTTCTGTGGGTACATCTACACAGCAATAAAAAACCCACAGCCCTGAGTCGCAGAACCCGGCTCAGCTGACTCGTGGGATTCGGGCTGCAGGACTAAAAATAGCAGTGTAGACCTTCGGGTTCAGGCTAGAGCCCGGGCTCTGAGACCCAGCCCTCACCCCCTTGCAGGGTTTCAGAGTCTGGGGTGCAGACCAAGCCCAAATGTCTACACTGCAGTTTTGGAGCCCTGCAGCTGTTCCACAGGCCTTTTATTGCAGTGTAGACACACCCTTTAAGGTTTGGGGCCCAGGTCCAGAAATTCTTAACGTAGGGTCAATAGGGTGCACACTCAAGGCCTGGACTTGCAAACCCAGAGTCAGCAGATCTGAGGCTAGGTCTACACTACCCGCCTGAATCGGCGGGTAGAAATCGATCTCTCGGGGATCGAATTATCGTGTCTCGTCGGGACGCGACAATCGATCCCCGAATCGACGCTCTTACTCCACCAGCGGAGGTGGGAGTAAGCGCCGTCGACGGGGAGCCGCGAAGGTCGATTTTGCCGCCGTCTTCACAGCGGGGTAAGTCGGCTCCGATAGGTCGAATTCAGCTACGCTATTCGCGTAGCTGAATTTGCGTATCTTAAATCGACCCCCTCACCCCCCCGTAGTGAAGACCTGCCCTGAGTCTCACTACCCCTGGGTTTACCTTGCTGTGTAGCCGTACCCTCAACCATTAGTCATTAATCTACGATCTGTCTTTATTTCTGCAGGGTGATCAGCTGATTCATGCCCATTCTGGCATTCATCTTCCCCAACACTGCATAGTGCATCAAGCGGAAGATTCAGCAGTATCCACAAAAATATAGTTTGTGCTAATAATATACATTGCCGCCAACCACAGCCTTTGCTTTGCAATTGACTGAGGCAATATTCTTGAACGGAGGCATGGTAATGTGGACTTCCCAGAGGATCATAGATGCTCTGACTTCTCTCGACCCACTTTTAAAGGTACCTCTTACTCCTATGGAATACACAACAGTTAATATTGTCATTAATATTGTTGAGGGCCTATGTGTTGAATGTGGGGACCTAAACAAGCCTTTACATGAAAGATCCACATTGAAAATGATACACCTAATTGCCAATTTGAGCATCTACCTACAAGATTTAGCCTGTCTGTGTGGGAGCCCACGTTTGGACAGTATGATCTGAGAATATTTTTGCCAGAATATATAATAATTTTGTTGAATTAATTAGTGGTTTCCCCTCTAAACCACAGTATGCTGAGCCTCACCACAACCGTAAGAGTATGGATAAGATTTTCTGAGCAAAGATCTCACGGTGTTTCACATATATTAATGAATTAAGCGTTGCAGCATCTCTGAGGGTGAGGATTATTACCCCGACCTTACAGATGGGGAAACTGAGAATGATTGACAGGAGTCAAGCTCACGTGGGAAGTCCATGAAAGAATTGCTGCTAGAACCCAGATTTCTTTAGTCTCAGTCCTGTGTCTTAACCTGAAAGCCAACCTGTATTCTCCCTTCCAACTGCCTTCTTCTCCTAGGAACCCTATCCCGTATTTGCCGATCCCTAACAAATGGTGACTTTATAAAATTAGTATTCTTACATCTGTCTCTTGTAGTTTGTTTTCTTTTTAATGTCCAATTTCCGTAACACAAATCAGAACTCCCACCAAAATTACAGTTTAATTCAAAGAGAATCTGCATGCAACAACAAAGATAACCATAAAAGCATCCCGTCTAATAAGAAAAGATTTTTTTTATCATATATGGAAGATTAAAGCTACTATAAATGAAAGTAGAGTATATAACTGGAAACAAGCTTTCTAAATAGGTGGCATATGTCAGCAAGCATTACAACAGTGTCTGTAGGTGAGCCTTTGATATAGACTGTTAACTGGTTCAGCAAGGTAGATGCAGCCAGGAGAGATTTTCACATCCTTGATTTGTTTTCCTACTACAATACATTTGAATAGAACAGAATCATAAATTACCTCTGATTTTACATCTTTAAAAGGACACATAAAAGCTCATGAGATCATTGCACACCCTGGGGGGGAAAAAACAGGAAAAGTATGAAAGATTCATTTTATTGGAATACAGGTTTAGCTATTTCATATTTAATAATATTTAATATTTCATTTACTACTGGGGACTCACCTTTTTTTTTCCAGCAGAATGTAAGATGCAAGGCACTATAGTACATTAAGATTTTATGTCTGAGTATAACAGTGTTGTAAAGATTGTCGTTGGAGCTGTTTAGCATGATGCAGAGACTGAAAGCAACTAGGTTTCTTTTTCTTTCTCCTGCCCCCTCCAGCAGTCAAAGCAGGAATGGAAGAGGCCGTCACAAAACCACATAGCAGGAGCTGCCAGCAACAGGAGGAGAAAGAAACGTATATTTCTTCAAGTTGTTTGTAATGTTGTTCCCCTCTGGGAAGTACTTTACAAGGGGCAGTAGGGAACCAGGCAATCAGTTGCTTGGGGAAAGGGCAAGAAAGGGCATAGCTTTCCAGTGGGGGCATGTGTTGTAGGGTAGTTATCACACTGTGGGAAAAAACTAGGTTTTATATTTTCCCTTCTAAACAAGACACTGTACAAAGCAGTGAAATTACAGGAACTTAGCAAATGAGGCAACCATTATCTGCTCAGCAATGGTTTCCATGTTCTTGGGTGCACAGATGGGATGACATGAGGCTGCATGCCACAAGGTGGGATAGAACTTGTTTCTCGAATGTTGGCCTGATCAGCGTGATTATCCTTTACTTTTTTTCCAGGGGCTCTTTCACTCTGGTTGTCTACGTAGCTATAATTCTGCATTTGGTTTACATTTAAAGGGGCAGTACAAAGTCTTCCCACCAATCTCCAGTGGGGGATCTCAGAGAGGCACTGCTTTCTCTCTCATGTGGACTTTATATTGATTCCTTCTTGGTTCGTTGTCTTCCTTAATGAAATATAAAAGTCAGCTTGACTGACAATATTGTGTGTATAGAACTCACGGCTGCCTGCTTTGGGCAGCTAGCAGCAAAGGGCAGACACAGTCTAACCATATGGCCAACGCTCACAAAATTGTCTCGAGTGTCAAGATTTGGGGCCAGTTTTGCCAGCTGTTTCCACCATGCAAACAGCCACAGGTGGCTCAGGAATTTTTGCCTGAGCCATCTGCAATTTTCTTCTTGGAAAAGAGTCGAGGCTTTTCTGCCAGCCCACGACCCCGGGTACCTGGTCTGCTCCACAGGACACAGTATTACCAATCACAAGCATTCAAAAATCATGAGGTTGGCTTAAAAACATGAACAATTTATAATTAAAACTTCATTTCGGGGGAAAGAGGGGATTTGCCTTCTGTTTTTTCTGCCATTAGGGGTCACATTTTCAAGATATTCCTGCAACCATTAGGGCTACAAAGTGGAGTGGGGTTTTTTTAGTTGAAAGCCGAGATGCTCACGCAATTGCATGATTCCAGGAGCTGGGGCTTTAAGAAAAGCCACCAAATATCAGGCGAGCCAAGATAAAAACCACAAGACATGACAATATTATCTGCATGCGGAGAACAGAGGCACTCCAGAATTCATTCCCTAGGAGCCCCCTCCAAGGAATTCCATCTGACTCAGGTAGGCTTGCTCTGGGAGCTGCCACGGCAGCATGCCCCCTGCAGCAGCCTTTGGCTGTCTGAAATACCCCACCTCAGAGTCTGTGGAGCAGCTACTGTAGATTTTCACCTCGCCAGCTTTAGGCAACGTATCAGAGATTACAATAAAACTGTAGAGTGTTTCTATATTAACCTGTAAATTTTAGAGCCTCGCCTTTCAAGCATGGAGACATTTTAAGAGCCTTTTTGCTTTTCCGAGGTAGTAAAAGTGCTGATGCATCTGGACGATCATGACTCAGGTTAATTACTAGACGTGTTCTAAAGCCACAGTTCCCGGGCTCCACACTGGTACCATCTGGTACCCCACAAACACACACTTACACCAGCACTGCCAGTCTGCTGTGCTGTGATATCATTCCCACATGCACAGAGACAGCGTTTCTGGGAATAACATCAGAGAACTAGTCAGTCTCTTTGAAGCTTTCAGTGGAGATGCTTTATAGCTAGGTACATCCGCTCTCCATAAACAAACCTGAAAACACCCATATGTTCAGAGATGTCCATGCACCACATGATAAGCAAGCACAAATATACCCTGACATTGAAACACGCCCATCCTCAAACGACCTGCCTAACCCTGTCAGAGTTCTCCATAACCTTTGGCCTGGAGAGTAGTGCAAGCCTTATCTTTTCAGTCATGCTAAAGATTGTGACACTGCCTGATCCCAAAGCCAACTGGAGTCTTTTCGTTGACACCCATGAGCTTTGGCTCATTGACAAACTGCTCAGACAGCATCCTTGTCACACAAGCTTGTCTCTCTCTTCTCACGTGCATAACAGTTGCACAGACATCATGAGACCCAGTACGTAATGCTGGGAAGGAAGACTCCCTTATGAAACATGCCAAAGCTCTTCATCCTTCCGAATGTGTTTTTTTTTTTCCTTTTCAACAGCTCGTTCCTGTGACCAGTTCAATCCCCATCTAGGGTTGTTCTTCTGACGTTATAAGAGTCAAATGGTCTCAAAAGGCCCCAAAAGCACCGATAGGCCAAATCTTGGAGTTCATTCCTAGTTTTTATTCAAAAATGGCATGGCTTTTTAGCAGGGATGGAACCCAAGGCCTTCAGTGTTGCAGCACAGACCTCAACTGCTTAAGCTAAAAGAGTAATTCTGTTAGTGATTAGCAGTAGTGGGGTTTTGTCCTCTATGGGCCAGCTGCTCGAGAGGGATGCAACGTGTACTTTGCCAGAGCGTTACACAATAACTCCAGGATATGGTTCACTGATTGCACCCAGTCAGCTGATGTGTGCTGCGAGACCACTCTTGATGGTACTAATGGTCTCTAACAAATGCAGAAGGTGTCACCTTTCCAAGAGCAGCTGGCTGTGGGATTTTAGAAACAGGTATTTTGCCAGGAGAACAAGTCATTTTCTCTAGCAAACTCAGTGTCACATCTCACTGAGGAGCTATGTCATTTGCATAACTTCCCATGGAAACGGAATCTGTGTTTGACATCATGGGACAGAATCTCAGACTCAGTTTAGCATTATCAAGCCACTAGTCATCAGTCCACTGTCATTCTCCTATATCGGACATCTTAATAATCAGTGCTATGCACACATGTTCAGCAACAGCAAATCCTTATGATCTCCCCAGACAACTGCAGCTTGGGTTCATGCACAACAAACATCAGCAGAACAACAGTCCTCACAGTACTTGGAATACACCCTTCCTGATAAGTGTGGAGGCTATTTTCAATTCCTCTTAAATAATTGAAGATACTACAGATACAATCAAGAGTCAAACTTTTCGAGATGGAACTGTCTAGATGATGAATAAGTTAATGGAACTAAAATCCCAGTCGTGGCTGATTAGAGGACCTAGAGAGTTTATCGGAGATGGGATTGTACAAGCCCAGTCACAGCCTGACCTTGTAACGAATGAGAGCTAAAAAGCAATTAATTGAGAAATTATCAGGGAAAAGAGAAGGTGTATGGTTGGTTAGGTAAAGCAATATGTCAGTGGGCCATGGATTGATTTGGCTGGAATAACTCCAGGTCTCTGTTCTGATGATTCAGGACTTCAGGAACTGGCCTAAGCCAATCAATAAAAACAAAACAGGGTCAGGAGTGGGAGTCATCAGTCAGTATGGCAGATCAGGATTCATGTATTATTAAATTGGCAATAGAGGAAAGTTCTCGTACAGCCAGCAGCACTCAAAGTTCTTAAACTCTACTTTTGCACTGTGACGGAGGAATCAAGATAGAACTGATCTTCCATTGTGCAAATTACCCTTCTCATTTTAAATGATGGATTTTTAGACAGCTTTGTGTCTTCAGGGGTATTTCATGGGCACAGTTATCATGATTGCATTCATAAAGTGAGTAATTGTAGGTCTTATTTGCACATGCAGCTGCAGAAGGTAGTCAGAAAGAATTCCATGGATTTCAATATTCTTTGGATCTAGCCCTAAATGCATCTCTAAAATGTCTTCTAAATATCTGGATTTACTTTCCCCCGCTGATATTTTAACTACATCAGCAACCAGGAAAATCCAGATACATGATTTCGAAATCCTTACTTTATTTTGCTATTTTGCAGTGCCAAATACTGCATTTAGTTATTTGTAGAGTCGACATAAATAAAAGGGAAAGATGTACACCTGTTTTTAAGACTGACTTCAAAAGCTGTATCCACCTGCACCTCAGCTAATGTTGAAAACATTCTTAGGGGCAGATAGAGAAACATTCTCACAGCACAAAGGATTGAAGGCGACGTCTGTACAGAGCTTTGACGTTGTGCAAAATTACAGCCTGAATTCTGACCTTAACCAGGCCGCCTTGAGTAAGCAAAACTCTCATTGGCCACTCATCAAAGCCCCTGCCTTCTCTGAAGGTCTGCCTGGCTGAGAAGTGGGTGAGAATGGAAGACTAGATAAGGACCAGATTATGCCCTTACTCCCATGAGCAGGCTCTCCAGGTCACAGGTAGCATTGTGGAGAGGAGTGTAGCTTCCATGGAATTGCTACATCCCTCCCTGTGTATGAATGGACAGGACAGGGAGAAGGTGGAACGTTGGATCTACCCACCTGACTCAACACATCAGAACTATTTACAGAGGGATACGGGACAGAGCATGGATGTTCCCATCCCCACCTTCTTATCTTTGATAAAAGCACATCCATTTGCAGTTGCTCTATACAATGACCCCCAATATCACTGGAATTAAGATATGGGCAATTGAACCTGAATTGAGCCTCTTCGCTCATGACATCCTTCTCGGTCTAACTGACGAAGCTAAATTACTGAAGGCTACACGATCTCATGAAGAAGAGACAGAGCAAATGTAGCCGGTTTTAAAGTGAGCTTTACTTCAAATTACATCAACAACAAAATTAAGCCTGCCCACCAATTTCCCGGTGACACAGACTCCAAGATAGGGATATGGCCCTCCCCAAATGTAAAATCCCATTGAAATACCAGAATGTGCAGTAATTGCACCAATAACATACACTATAACTTCTTATGAGGGAAGTGGCGTGATTTAGTGGCCTGAGTGTCAGCGGACTTGGGTTCCATTCCCTGCTCTACCCTGAACTTCTGTGTGACCTTAATCATGACATTTCACAGCTCTGTGCCTCTGTTTCCTCTCCTATCTTTTGCTTTTGTATCTATTATATCAACAGATCAGCACATCCGACCGTCCCGCATTGCATGCGTTTGGGAAGTTATTCTGCCTTAACACTGCTGGGGGTCAGGATTTAGTGTTAGAATACAGTTTGATCTGTAAAATGGGACTAATGAGACTGCCCCCGCCTTTGCAAGGTGTTTTGGGATCTAAAGATGAAATGGACTGGTGGGCTGCCTATGCTGCATTCAGGGGTTGTGACTGCAGCATGTGTAGGTCTGCCTGAGCTAGCAGTAATCTAGTGAGCACAGGTACTGATAGCAATGAAGCCGCAGCAATATGGATGTTCACACAAGCTGTACAGGTAGCATTTGCTTGGGCGACTTGCTCACATGATGCCGTGGCTTCACTGCTGTTGGTACCTGAGCTATATAGGTTAAAGCTAGTGCGGATACCAACATAAGAGTGTGGTCAGAAGAATGTGGACATATTGGGCCAGACAAATGATCCATCTAGCCCAGTATCCTGTCTTCTGACAGTGGCTAGCGCCTGATGCATCAGAGGGAAGGAACAGAACAGGGGCAATTATGTAGGGATCCATCCCCTATTGTCCAGTCCCAGCTTCTAGCAGTCAGAGGTTTAGGGACACCCAGAGGACGGGACTGCGTCCCTGACCATCCTGGCTAATAGCTATTGGTGGACTTATTCTCCATGAACTTGTCTAATATCTACATGTGCTTCAATCACACTTCTGATTGCAGCATACATACTCTGTATAAGAACGAAGTATTATTATTTAGATGAGGAGAACAGCAAATCAGAAGATATCAAAGTAAAGTCTTTTTTGAAAAAGCACAGTGTCTCGTCTGACAACCTGCACTGACCTGCACACAGAAGTGCTGACCGTCTCTGCAGACACAGGGGACCCCCAGAGGTCCACCTGCACAGAGCTCATTACAGATTAAGGACCTTAAACATCATTTCTCATTCTTTTTTACAGAACAATTTTCTGTGGAGTTGCAAAACATCTTGGACTCCATTACTAAACTTTTACCAAGGAACTATAGCTATCTTTTCTATTAGGCCAATACTTTACATCTGCTTTTTTTGGGGTGGGGGGGAAGACTCTTTTTAATTTAAGTTTTAATGCTGCGTATTGTTGGCATTTCCTTAATAAAATAAAATATAAATTTATATCACCTTTCATGCCTCAAAATGCAAACATCATTAATACAACTATGGGAGGGGGTGGGGGGATTGTAAAGGGTTTAGCAGTTAAATGTGAAATACCCAGTAATGCTAAACTATAGGATGGTCTGAACTGATACCAGGACTAAGGAGTTAATGAAATGAGCAAAGGCTAAAAAAAACCTAGAACTTCATATCCTTTGGAGAATTCAGGGGCTAATAGGAGATGGTACCTAAACAATGACGTTTCATCCGATCAGAAACTGTCTATCTAACTGGGCAGTGGTTCTCAATCTTTTCCGCACCATGGCCCCATGTTACAACAGAAAAAAGTTTCAGGACTCACCTCTCATCTAACCTAAAGAAACAGAGGGTGGGGTGCAACTCCCTGAAATCTGTTCACAACCCCCAGGTTGAGAACCCACAAGCTGGACTATTCTGTTCAGAATCTTATACTGTGCCCATCACATCTGATGGGCATGTGAGCCCCTTCCAGAAGAGCAGTAAGTGACGTGATTATCATCTCTCAGGTGTGGCTCTTTCCTCCTGACTTCCCCTGGAGTGGGAATTGTATGATGATTTGTTTTGAATGCATGACATTCTATGAGTGGATGTTAACAAAGGCAAAGTGGAAGGCGTGTGCCTTGCACTTGGAACAGAAACCACTTTTGGAGTCTTTGGGTGAAATTGTGTTTAAGGAGCTCAACATGCAAAAGTGTTTGTCCTGCTTAGACTAATTTCTAATTGAAGGGGAAGGTCAAAGATGCGTGAGTTCAAGCATAGCATGGCACAGTGATCTGGAAACACCATTAAAACCAAACCCACTGGAACAAAGTCGATGAGTTTAGCTCATAAAATCTCAATATGTAATAAATACATGCAACTTCATTGTACATACCCTTTATTGCTCACCATATATCAAACACACATTTTACAAGGAAATTTCAGCAGGATGTAGTAAATGTAGAGGTAAAGAAGCAACCTTATTCCACTGCGTATGGACACATCTCAAGATACAATCATGGCAGAAACACTCCTACTGTATTTTTGAATTCATACTGACCCCAGAACTGTGTATGCTAAGGACGGATTCCAAAAATGAATTCAGCAGAAGGAAGAGAGAGATGCTGAGGTTTAATGTGGTTTAATGCAATATGCCTAATAACTCAAATACAAATTCTGAATTACTGGACCAGTAAATATACCCAGCTCTGGGTCTGTGGCTTGCCAGACTTCAAAGTAACAAAACACTAGTGTGTCTCACTCAAGAACTGAGAAAGAACCCCCATAGTTGGCTTGATAGCTCTATAAATGAGAGTTAATGTGAAACATAAGGGCCAATCTCAGGTTCTGAACCTTCAAGCATGACTAAGCAATAATGCCCAACAGGGGTTCATATAAGAGAATTTCTATCATGGATAAGGCCAAAAGGATTAAATGTCTCACTTCAGAGAAAAGATGCCGATAGAAGTAGATCCTCTCCTTGTTTTACTGGGTAGCAGAGACATTATTCACATCACTGCCATGCAAGGATAGGAAGCCAGAAGGCCAGTGTAGTGCTTGGACAGTAAGGTGAGGACCTGGAGTCAGAACCTGAATAGAACAGGACAGGACAGAACAGAAGAGTGTAGACGCGTGTAGATTTTTTCCTGTCTTGTGAAGCTCTGGCCAGGTTCCTCAGCTGCAGTAACCCAGCCCAGCTTCATTAGAAATGTGTCAGTTTACACACGCAGGGAGTCTAGCCCAATCGGTTTTAGAATCATTCCTAAAAACCTATTGCATTTCCATAGCAATTTACTGGCTTCATCTCGGTAAGTCTTTTCCATACAGGTGGCTGCAATGGGGCAGAACTGGGCCCAGACTGGTGCTGATAACAAACAATTTGAAACCAACAGCCAAAGCAAATATGCAGGTGGAACCCACACACTTTCTGGGTGTGATGCTCTGTCTCCTCTAGTGGCACCGAGACCACATAGAGATTAATGAGTCTGCTACAGCCTTAGTTAAGCCATGTGGCTTTTAGCTCATGTAGTAGAGTCTCATGCATCTAGCTCCAGAGGTCCCAGGTTTGATCTTGCCCATCGAAGACCATGGTCTGTCGGTGTTATACAGGCTTTCTAACTGGGCCAAATCCTGTAGCCCTTATTCATACAAAATTCCCACTGACTCCCATTGACTCAGACCCTGAGTAAGGACAGCAGGATTTGCCCCACCCTTAGCAACACTCCTTTCATGGATTTGCATTCTTCTTTGTCTTAGAGCTTTGCAGATGACATGGTCCTAAAGAGTCATAAAAGCACAAAAGAGGTAGAGTCACCGAGTTGGCAAAGTGACAGAGAACGTTGCCCTTTTCTGGTCATTCCCTCTAAAGCATCTGACACCTGCCACTGTCAGAAGACAGGATCCTGGGCTAGATGGACCATTGGGCTAACCCAGTATGGCCGTTCTTATGTTAGGGTGCCTGGTCTCTGGAGTGAAAGACGCCCAGAGCACCAGTCATGCACTATCACCTACTGACCAGTTAACAAAGCAGGAATGCGAGAAATCAGCTTTGGAGAAGGACTCTGGCCTGCCCTTTGAGCTAAATACTGCATAAAGCCCTGCTCAGCCGAGAGGGTGCAAACACAAGAAATACCATCATTAAAATCAATGAGATCCCAAAATGTGACAGTGTGCTGTATGCAGCGACAGCCTAGATAATGTCACTGCGCTGTAATAAATTCATGCTTACAATATGAATCAGGAGATATTTTTGGAAACATGTTAAAATTGTGTCTGTAGGAATTTTATCATCCCCTGATGTTTCGCATGCACAGTTTGTAGCTGGATGCATAATCCTGTTAATATGGTTTCTGTGCATTTTTAGGCCGTGTTGTAGCTACAAGAGCCAGGAGACTAAATCTGTGCAAGAGCTTTTTATTTTTAAACTCAGCTGATACCCACAATCCTTCTGAAAACCGAGCACTGGAATAAATAAGAACAAAACTAAAACAGGCATGTTCCTCTTGCAAGTGCAATAGCTGTGGCTTTTGAATCACACTGATCCACAAAACATAGTCCAGGCTTCCCTCTGATCTCTGGTACTTCAAGGGAATTAGATCTGAATCAGCCTCTTTATCTTCTTGCAGCACAAGAGGCCAAATTCTGTTCAGAGCAAATCAGGAATCACTCTGTTAATGTCAGTGGAGTGACTCCTGATTTATGTGGGTGCACTTGCCTGCCAAATTCAGACCATGGAGTCCAATTTTCCAACATAAACTAAGTGAGGACACCCAGTTTAGCACTTGCGTTACTTAAAAGGAGTATCTGAGTACCTAAAAGCTGATTTACAAGAGAAAAACTGGTGCGGTATTCAAGGCACTGAGTTGCTTGTGGGGCTCAGTCTAGTCAGAGGAGGTTGTACTGGTGGTGCACATTTCTAAGCTTTAGCTCAGTGGTTAGAGCCACCTGGACTGTGAGAAACCCAGGTTCAAGTACCCCTTCTGTGCCAGAGGGGGAGGAAGGATTTGAGTGAGGGTCTCCCACTTCCTGAGTTGTAGGTGGGCAGGGGAGTTCCCTCAATCTCTCCAGTTGAAGCTGTTCCACTGTGGATAACTAATGAAAGAGTGATTGGAGCAGGGGACCAGAGGCACCTCCCAGACAAGTGCCCTAACCACCAGTCATTCTCTCTTTCTCCTTTTCTGACCCAGTGACTGTTTCACTGTGGATAAATATTTAAACAGTCCTTCGGTCAGCGAGAGAGAGAATGAGAATAGATTTTGAATGAGCTGTAAGCACGCCTACCGGCTCAGGCCCACACATGACGGATGAGCGCCTGCCTTCCTCTGGTTCGTGAAGCACACTGGGGCTTAGGGGGGAGATAGACATCTGGATGCCTAGAGGGAGCAATGTGCATGCCCAGAGGCAGGCACGGAGGGAACTTTTACCCTGAAAACTTAGGCATTGAATGGGTTTAGGAGCCTACTGGACTCAGGAGGGGTTTTGTGGATCACAGTGGAGCTTAAAACTGGGACTTAGGCACCAAACCCAAGACTTAGGTGCCTTAATCTAAGGTTTAGGATTCTAAGTACCTTTGTGGATCCCACCCTTAATAATCCCTCTGTGCCTGGATTCTCCCTCTGTACAATGCGGATCATCATATTTCCCTTCTTCAGTGGTGTGTTGGGACGATACATTGATTTGCATTTGTGTGGCACTCCTACTCTGGTGATGGGACCTGCAGTAAGTACGTTTGAAGGTGTATGTGGGCACCCTGACTTAAGCCCAAGATTTTGAATATTAGGCCAATTTATTACCAAAGAAGGGCTTAAGACAGGGGTGGACAAACTATGGCCTGCAGGCCGGATCCGGCCCGTGAACCGCACCAGGCAGCGCAGCCCTGCTCCG